CTGTTTCCCAGACGATTCTTCTGTTCATTCCAGAAATAAATTGCACACCAGCTCATGCCGCCACACAGACAGAGGGGCAGCCCTGCTCCCGTGGAGTCACTCATGCTCCCACCCGCGAGGGAGGGAGGAGACTGGGGTTTCTCCCCCTTTCCTGTTCCCCACGCTGCAAAATCCTGCAGGAGAACGCTCCCTCGGTCCTCCTGACGCTCCAGGTGACATCAGAGATGGAGACGTGCTATCTCTCCGCCGCTCTTCCAGGCCACGGCAAGCCCCTGGGCTCGCAGCGCTCAAATTCCTCCCGCCTGTCATGGCCCTCAATCCCTGGCCGGTTCCACTGACTTGGTTGGCGAGCTGGCCCGTTTGCCCCTCCAGGCAGTTCCCCTCCTGTCCTCGGGCTCCCAGCTGGGTTTGGTTTGGAAGGAGACAGGGACAGAGAGCCGTGGGGGTGCTTCTCCTCTGCCCCTCCCTGCGTGGGCGCCTTACGCCTCCCGAGGTGCTCCATCCTCCCCACCCAGGCGCCCATCCACAGAGCCCCTGCTCCCCTCACCCAGCCTGAGGGTCGGGGGCAGCAGCGCAGCTCCCCCACCTGCCGTCTGTTCTCTGGTGGCCCCTCCGCAGGACTCTGACCAGTCCCCAGGCTGACAGCCTCTAAGTCCGGGAAGGATTCGAGTCCAACGCAGAGGTGGTGGAATAAATCAAATGTGGAGAATTGGTCCTTCACCTTAGGCTCAGAAATCACTTGCAAAGGTTTGGTCTTTAATGATGAAAACAGTTAAGAAAAGTTGGCATCTTGAAGAATCTGCCAGATTAACCTCCTGATTCCATCTTAATATGCATTACTGAGGGTCGAGTCTAAATGTGTGGCTTAACACTGGAATGTGTCAGAGAATTTAAAATGTTTGCAAACAGTCCTGGAATGCTTCCGAGAATTTGAGATTTGGCGTAAGTTTAACATATGAGACACACTAGACTTTTTTAAGCACGTAGGAGAATTTCTGCTATGATATCAGGCATTCAAAGTGCTCCAAGAGAAAAAAGGAAACACGCCACATTTGTAAGTGCCATCTTAAAAGGGTCAAGGGAATTTAATTAAGTAAAGGCAGAAACAGAACTGATTTTTGTTTAATGGCATTTAATCTGTTCAATCTGAGTTAGTCAAACATTAATCAAAGAAAAAGAGAAGCTGAGTATTCTTATTCTGTTAGATTTATAGCCATACTATGATCTCTTGATTTAACGTGAAAGCTTAAAGCAGACAGCTTGGAAGTGCGTAACTTCACTGAATTGTCTACAGCTAGCCTTGAGCACTCTTTTCTGTGACTGAAGTCTCCATACAGAAGACAAACAAAAGCATAAATGAAACCCCAGAAACAAAACACCAAGAACCAAGGACCCCAAACCGATCGGAGCCCAGCCCCGCATCAGCACAGCTCGGCCGCAGGAGACCCCGAGGCCCGGCCCCTCGACATTTCCCCTCCGTCCACGGGTACCGCCGGACGGCTCGATCACACGGCAGACCCCGCACAGAGCAAGAAGCACGTGAACCAAGGCTGGCTCGTGGTCCCCGGAGTGGCGGCCATCCACATCCCTGGGGTGGGGCTCGGTGATCTGCGTTTAAGGAACCTCGAAGGGGTTCCGGTGCAGCTGGAATCTGGGAACCAGGGCCCGGGAACCTGCGCCCCCCCGCCGGTGGGTTTCCCGGCCCCTCCTGCTCTACCTGCAGACCTGCTCTGTTCAGGTGGAGGGCAGCACCCCAGGGCCCCAGACTCGGCATCACCGCTAACAATGAGTCTTGGTCCAAATGAAGCTCCAAAAATTGCCTCATAACGACATCCCTGTTACTACGTTTGCCCATAATAATATCCCTGTTAAGGGGTGAATTGTGTCCCCCAAGTGTGTGGGTAAGTTAGAGTCCTAACCCCCGGAACCTCAGAATGTGGCCTTATTCGGAGAGAGGGTCTTTTTTTACATTGAAGTACAGCCAGTTACAACGTGTCAACCTCTGGGGTACAGCTTCATGTCCCAGTCAGACATATATATGCACGCATTCATTTTCATAGTCCTTCTTGAAAGGTCCTTACAAGATATTGAATATAGTTCCCTGTGCTATGCAGAAGAAGTCTGTTTTTTATCTGCTTTTACATATAGTGGTTATCATTTGCAAATCTCAAACTCCCAAATGTATCCCTGCCCACCTCCTTTCCCCCGGCAACCATGCGACTGTTTACTAAGTCTGCGAGTCTGCTTCTGTTTTGCAGATGAGTTCATTAGTGTCCTTTTTTCCCTTTATTTCTTCCTTTTTTTTTTTCCAGATTCCACACACGAGTGCTGTCATAAGGCATTTGCCTTTCTCTTTCTGGCTCACGTCACTTGGAATGGCGATGCCCGGGTCCACCCATGCTGCTGCAGTGGTGGGGATGGGGTCTTAAAGGAGGTAATCGGGTAAAAATGAGGTCATTCAGGGGACAGGTGTCCTTATAAGAGGCAGACACACACAGAGGGCAGAGGACGTGAAGACACAGGGAGGAGACGGCCGTGTGACAGCAGTGCTGGGTCCACGAGCCCAGATGACAGCTGATACCAGAAGCTGGAAGGGGCAGGAAGGAGCGTCCCCTGGAGCCCCCAGGAGGGAGCACAGCCCCGGCCGCACCTTGGCTTCCCAACCGGCCTCGGTGCCAGGAGAGGCGTGTCTGCAGCTTTAAGCCTCCGGGATGAGGGTGTTCTGTTAAAAACAGCCTCCAAGACTAACAGGTCCCGCCCCTCTGTTCACTGCAGCCAAGACACAAAAGCAACCTCAGTGTCCTACAGCAGATGAATGGATAAGGGAGATGTGGTGTACACGTATATATACGTATACACACCATGGAATACTACTCAGCCGGAAAAAAGAATGAAATCTTGCCATTGTCAATGACATGGATGGACCTCCAAACCATTATGCTGAGCGAAGTAAGTCACACAGAGAAAGACAAATGCTATATAATTTCACTTGTATGTGGAATCTATAAAAAGCAGCCCAAACAAACAAAAAGCAAGCTCACAGATTTGGAGGGTGAGGCATGGAGGGTGAGGGCTGGGAGAGGGGGAGATGGCTGAAACGTTTTTTGGTAAGAAAACAAAAAACAAGCTCAATTTTATTTCTCTTTGGAATAAAGGGAGGCATTGCACGATTTTTTTCTCTGTCATACACTCAGAAAGCTGACGAAACAGCCGAGCCACTTAGGCAGAGGAGAATGCAGCCCTCCTCCCTGGCCCAGTGGTGGCCGTGGGCCCGTATGAGCCTCCATGGGACCCCGACATCTGGGAGCTCTGGGCTGAGTGACAGGGACTTCCAGGCCACCCCCAACCTGCCCACCCACTTCTCCCCACCTCAGCCATGGCCTCTCCACCCTCCCAGTTGCTCAGGCCAAGTGACGTCAAGGCACCTTTGACCCCCTCGCACCCCCATGTGATCCAGCAAACTCTGTGGCTGCCTCCTTCAGGATGCATCAGGTGTACGTAGGATCTGAGCAGCTTCTGCCTGGTCCAATCCATCTATCTCCCTGCGTATTCCAGAAGCCCTGGTCTTCCTTGCTCTGCCCTGGCCCACTCCTCCCTGGAATCACAGAGCTTGGAAGAATCTCTGAAAGAGACGAGGCAGCTCGAACATCTGCTCGAAGCCTGACGGCTCCCACCTCGCTCCCAGCAAAGCCAGACTCTCTCCTGCTACCCGGCTCCTGCCACACTGGCCTCCTCACTTCAGGGACCCAGCAGGCACCATCCTGCCTCAGGGCCTTTGCACCTGCCATTCCCTCTGCCTGGAACACTCTTCCCTCCCCCCCGCTCCCCCCATCATCCCACGAATAGCCCCCTTGAGGCCCCTTCTGGCAAGGCCTTCTCCGAACATCCTCTTTAAAACTGCACCCCGGCCCCTCCCACCAGGCGCGTCTGGCATCCTCTCTGCTTCACTCCTCCCTTTGGAATTTCTCACTAAGGATGCCTTCTCTTCTCTATCACCTCCTCCCCTGGAAGGAGGGCCACAGAGAGGCAGGATTCCTGTCTGTTTCATTCCCTCTGTAGCCGGGGCTCAGAGCGTGGGTTAAAAGAGGCCCAGCTCCCTGGGGGAAACAAGGCTCTGGGAAGGGGCTGCAGAGGGTCTCGGCTGGCCTGCCCGCTGAGCCTTTAAAATTTCGAAAGCCGACGGTCACACTCTGCTCCCGAGGGCCGAAGCTCTCCACACCTGCCTAGCGAGGGCTGCTCCCACGGCCCCGGACACGGAGTGATGCGGTGCCCTGCCGAGCGGGGCTGCAGCCAGGCTGCAGTTTAGGGCACCCAGGAGAACAGGCCTGACCATCCTGGAGTCCTGGATTTGCAGCCAAGATTCTTCCAGAACTTTCCATCACGTCTCCAAGCAACCAGGGGGAGGAGGTTTGCAACCAGGAAGAGTCACTGGGGTGGAGGGAAAGGCGTGGGAAGGAGGGGCTGAGGTTCAGTCACCCCTGGACCAGCTCGGGGCCGCCCTCCGGCTGCCCACTGCCCTCAGAACTGAGTCCGGTGCCTGCCCAGCAAGGCCCCGGATGCCCATCCTGCCTGGAGCCTTCTCTATACGCTGCTCCCCGAGGGCAGGGTGGGGGCTTCGGGCGCCCACAACCCGCATCTGCACCCTGCCTTCCACATCCACCCAGACACGCCCACAAAACAGCGTGGGTCTCCTCGCCGTGTGCGGGAGGACCAGCTTTGACAACTTCCAACCTGCCCCCCACAGCCCACACTTCACGCATCCAGACAGGTGGCTTGAGAAATAAAGTAACACAAAATACAGCCTTTTGTTACCATATTCAACAGACGTAACTTTGCCCAGTCCTGTTGCCACTGAAGTTTCCTACATTGACCTAAGTTTGGGGTTTGTGTCCCCCGACCAGTAACAAGCAGCTCACGGACCAGCCGAGCCCAGCCCCCGGCGGGTCTGCTCCGCACACTGTCCTCACGAAAGGCCCTGGTGCCGGTGCAGTGACACTCACCCTCATGCCCAGCTCAATATTCTCCCCGCCGTACACCTCCATGCCCGGGTCCAGCAGGCCGATGTCCCCGAAGTACTCCCGGTCCACCACGAAGGAGCAGCCGATCATGGCCGGGGTCCTGGCAGGAAGCAGACAGCACGTGAGCCGGGCATCGGTGCCTGACCCCGGACCCCTGCCTGCCACCCTCCTTCCACGTCCCCACACGTCATCCCCATGCCCCTCGCCTCCACGAGATCACTGTGCCCAGGACACAGGCAGGACTGCCTTGGGCTTGTCTTTGTGTCCCTCAGAGCCTGCTGACACACCCAACGCAGACGGAGTCCAAATGCTCACTGAATAAATATCAGTGGTGACAAAAACCAGCATTCAATTCAGGCAACTTAATGTAGGGGATTAAAAATTTTCTTAAACCTCTTTACTCAACGAATTGTTTAGTCACCCTGAACGTCATTTCCCAAGCTTGAGTCACTTGCCTACCTCCTTCATTATTTTGTTTTCTCTGTGTATCAGTAGTCGGGCTGCAATGGACAGTTGCATAGGTTGTGCACTGCTCAACTCTATGGCGCCTCACTGATCTCAGACTCTGAATGACACACCTTGACGTTGGACAGTGCACAGCCTGTGCAGCTGTATCCAGCAGACTGCCAACGGTACTATTAGTTCTGTAATAATTCTATTTGCATCCATGCCTTTAAAAAATGTCAGAAAATCTTGCAATGTCCAGAGCAAGTATATCTGTAAAGCCATGTGTTGATGTGCTACTTATATTTTTTTCTAATACGCATGAACAATCTATCCATGTGAGGCATCCCCTGGGAAGTGGTCTCCTGGAGCAGCAGTGGTTAAAGCGGGACATTGTGAGACAGAGCAGTGGAGAAAAGTGGACGGCATGACTGTCAATGGAACTGCTTAAGTTATAGTTCACCAACATACAACAGACATTTCTCTCATTTTCTTAACAACCACACAAAAATCTCAGGGTGATCTCTGATGAATTGAACTGCCAAATCCTTGCCAAGTCTATTATAGCTGGTAATGATTTTTTTATTAGTGCTCAGAGTGCCAAAATAAACTTATAAACTCATAAGGCGGTGGCAGCAGAATCAGCTGGCACCGAATTCACTTGCATGGGACATTCTTGCTGTGATTGCAGAATCCAGCAAGGATGAGGGCTTCTCAGGTTCAGCAGGGGGACTGGTTGTCGGGGTGTCCCTCCATCTGGGCTGACCTCAGTGTGTGGCATCCCGGCATCACAGCAAAGGGTCCTCACCTGGGCTCTGGCCTCGCAGGGCCACAGGCGGAGTTTGTGCCTGTGTGAGAAACGGCCAGTTCTCCAAAGCGGTTTTGCAGTGTATTCTCCCACCAGCCGTGCTCAGAGCTCCGACTGCTCCACGCTCCCACCAGCCCCTGGTGCTGTTGGTCTGTTGGGCTGTTCTAGAAGGTGTGCGGTGCCCCCTCCCCCGGTTTTGCATTTCCCTAGTGACTCTGTGGTGGGCGTCTTTCCATGCGCCTGTTAGCATCCTGTCTACCTCCCTTTGTGAAATATCTGTTCGAGGCCTTCGCCCATTTTTCATTTGGGTTTTTCGCATCAGGATTTTCAAATTCTTTCCAGGTAATGCTAATAAGGATCAAAGTTTGGGGCAAAACGCAGCCTGGCCAGAGCTCCCTGGTCCTGCAGCTCAGGGTGTCCAGGCTGCTCTGAGACTTAGTTTATCCCTGGACGGCTCTTTGTCAGTGGAGAGCAGATGCCCGGAAGTCCACTTAAGACCCTCCCAGGGGAAGAGAGAGAACTTTCAAAGGCACAACATTGGAGGGTCTCCGTCCTCCGTGGGCAAAGTGGCCTGTTTCAGCAGGGACACACCAGCATGTACAGTGGAGGCAGGAGGGGGTCTCTGCCTGAGGCTGTAAAATCCCAAAACTTTCCGGGGAGACCTGGCAAAGTCTCCAGGGGGGTCAACAGAATCCGCAGATGCACTTTCACGCTGGGGAAAAGTACCTCCACTCCCTGGGCCCCCAGGAGAAAGTGGGGCACCCTACCCCACTAGGTTCTGAAGCATTGAATTCTCTGGGGTTCAGCAGACGCGGGACGTGGAGGAAGGGGCTGCAAACTTCGGAAGCTCAGTAGGTGAGGGAGACGTATGAAGCAAGCCAGGTGCAGGGAGAGTGAGCGCAAGCAGGCGCAGAGAGGCAGGGAGACGACGGGGGGGTGGTGGGGACCACATGCCCTGTTTGGACGGGGACCACGTCCCAGCTCCAGCGACTGCTGCCTCGTGAGAATGTGGGCCTTCCCATTTTTTCTAAAGATGGATGTGTGTATTTTTAACACACAGAAAATCTCTCTGTTTTCACATCTGGGAACTGATCCAAAATAAAAGAAGTGCTTTGCAGGGGGACCTCTGGGGGTCTGCTGGGACGTCCTGGTCTCTGCAGCGCACGCGGTCCGGTGGCCTCCTGGTCTCTGCTCTGCGCCCCGCTCGTGTTGCTGAGTCTCGAGGTTCTGCCTCTGCGCCCGCCTGCCTGCCTGTCTCTCCCCCGCTCTGTCTGGGTCTCTGCCTCCCTCTCACTCCCTCTGTCCGTCTCTGCATCTCTGCTCCTCTCTGCTGACACCTTCCTCATTTCGTCCCTTGGTCTCACTCTCCCCCGCCTCTGCCCCGACTCTCCGACTTCCTCTGTCCGTTCCTCCTTGTTCTCTGTCACTTTCGCTTGGTGTCCCCCCCTTTCTCCCTCCATGTCGGCTTCCTTTTTCTCAGTCTCTCTCTTCTTTGGATGTTGGCTTTTTCTGCCTGTCTGTCTGTCTCCCTCTTTCTTCCCCCGCCCCGACCTCATCATCACTCAGGTCACACTGGAGCCAGCTGCCAAGTTTCCCGTCACATCAGCATGTCCCCCTGCACACCTGCGGCAGCCCCACCCCACCCCCACCCACGCGGTGCTGGAGGAGGACAAGCCCTGCGGCCGGCTGACCTGATGGGCGCCGCCTCGTCGCCGCGGTCCAGCCAGTCCTGGGGCGGGATGATGTACATGCACCAGAGGCCCCAGTTGTAGCCGTGGGCGGCGCTGGCATACTGCTGCACCTCGAACGTGTCGTACTTAATGTTGTCGATGGCGGGCAGGACGATGCGCCGGCGGTCCTCCCGGATCCGTGTGAGGGCGGGCTCGGCCCTGTGGGGAGGCACACCCGTGAGGGAGGGAGGGCAGCGATGCTGGGACCCCAGCCCCATTCCCCGAGGAGGGGCCAGCTCTGCCAGAGGCGGGGAGCCCAGGGCCAGGCGGCCAGTGGGACAGCCGACTGCGGAGGGCCGGATCCAAGGGCTTCCTCTATGGAATCCCCGGGGGTTGTCTGGGCTGCAGACCCGCTGGCCCGAGGTCTCACCCTTCCTGGGACAGCCCACAGCTAACGACTGATTGACACCAGAGACATAAAGACCATTCTGGCCCAAACCATGACATCTCTGATGGGCTGTCCTAGCTCCAGGGCTCCCTGTGGGTCGGCTGAGTCTGTCGCTGGGCCTGCCTCACAGCTCGGCCTCTCCCTCCAGTGAATCCCCCTTCCTGCCCCTCCATCCCTACACGGATGGAAGGTATATTCATTTATAAGCATTAATTGACGACCGGTTATGTGCCACAGCCTGTTTTAACAAATTGGAATACATCCATGAACTAAAAATAGGAAAAAAAATCCATGTTTCAGGGAGGTTAGGATTCAGCGAAGGAACTGACTACCAAGCACTGTTGTGCAGTGCACAACCTACACAGCAGTACGTGGTGGCCCTGACTGGGTAGGGGTGAGGGAGGGCAGACAATAAAGTATAAGTAAATGATGCAGTATATTAGGAGGTGATAGGTATTGTGGTGGAAAAAGAGAGCAAAGTAAGGGTGATTTGGAACTGCAGTTTTAAGTAGGGTGTTGGGTGTAAGTGGCTCTGGGTGATGAAGCAGGTGGTTGTTGGGTGGGAGTCGGGGTGGGGCGTTCCACGCAGAGGGAGCAGCCAGCGCTGAGACCCTGGGATGTGCTGGTGTGCCTGGGGAGCTGGCTGTGTGGCTGGAGTGGAGAAACAGTGGCAGTGCAGACGATGAAGCTGGAGAGGAGGGAGCCCGGGGGACGTGGGCTCTCCCCTGTGAGCTGCCTGGGCAGCGGGGAGTCCCTGGGGCAAGCAGGTGCAGCTCTGCCCCAGAGATGACCTTGTCTACCAAGAGGATGAGATGCCATCCAAGGGCTTGTCACCAAGCGGGAGTTCAGGGTGGTCGGGAGCAGCCCGCCCACTCAGGGACCAGATAGCCGGACGCTGGAGGGAGGACAGAGGGCCGAGTGCGGGCTAGGGGTCTGGTTTAGGCAGGGAAGCTGGAGTGGGGGGCCGAGGTCTCCGACTCTGCCTGGTGAGAGCTGCCATGTGGCGGCCTTCCGAGCAAGAGCCTGGTATTTACCTGCCTCTCAGCTTCACGGGGAAGATTAATTAATTACTGTTAGCAAAGTGCTTCAGAGACAAAAAGCTCCCTGCAAATGCCACATCTGCTAATAAGGCAGGATCTTTGTGGAGGCAGTTTGGGGAGGGGAGGGCTATTTGCAGATAGATAACTGGGTTTTCAGTTGTGAAAATTAAAGTTGCACCAGCTTGAAATTGCATTTTGATGTGACAGACTTGTGGCGCTCCTAAATGCCCTCTGAATGCTCCAGGGAGCCTAACATCTATTGGAGGGACAGAAAGGCCGCCAAGTACATTTGTGCAGTGCACAACCTACACAACCGTACGCCATGACCCTGGTGAGGGGCAGACCACAGCGTGTAATTTATGATAGAAGGTGACACATGTTGTGGGAAAAGAAGAGTCGCCTCATGAGGATGGCAGAGGAGAGAGAAATGGGGGCCAGCAAGGGAAGTCAGAGCAGGAAGAAGTCGAGTCTCAATCAGACGTGGGCTGAGGCAGAACCAGAGAGAAAACAAACTCATGGTCCGGGGGCGGCTGAGATTCCCCAGTGCAAGTGGAGGAAGCGTGGAAGGAAAGGGCTCCCCTCACCTGCTTACAAGACACTGAAGCCCTGGCTGAACCAGCTGGTCAGTTAGAAAAGCCGAGAACTCCGAGAGGCCTGGAGTGCCAGACCCTCGGGGGACCCAGCTGGGACAGCCAGCCATGCACTGTGGGGCTCGGCCAGCACATCCATCACGAAGCCCTCCTTACAGCACGCGCAACCCCAGCGTTTCAGTGAACATCTTAGTTTAGGCTTCATGATGTTTAAAGATGTGCATTGGGAGATTTGAAATAAAAATGGTGAGTTTTAGCTTCTTTTGAATTGGGGCAAGTTGGTCACCCTGGGCTGACATTTCCCTGCAGCTCGGCTGGGAGGCGCTGCAGTCTGCTCCTGGGCCCGGGGCTCACGCTTCCTGTTCACTGTGGACCCCTGCAGACCTGCCCACCCTGGGTTTAACTTAAGGATCTTGGATGAGGTCATCCTGGATGACCAAGGTGGACCCTAAATCCCCCAACAAGGGTCTTGATGAGAGAAAAGAGGAGAGACACAGACACACAGAAGGGGAAGCCATGTGAAGATGGAGGCAGAGACTGGAGGGAGGTGGCCACAAGCCGAGGGACTCCTGGAGCCCCCAGGAGCTGGGAGGGGGTTGGGTGGTGTCCTCCCACAAGGCCGTGCCCATCTGGAACCCGCAGATGTGACCTTGTTTGGAAACAGAGTCCTGCAGACGTAGTCCGGGTTAAGAGCCCAAGATGAGGGCACCCTGGGCTGGGGTGGGCCCTGAGTCCAAGGCCGGTGTCCTTGAGACAAGGGCACCGAGGAGCAGCCACATGACGAGGGAGGCCAAGGTCGGAGGAACATGGCCACAACCCCTCAGAGCTGGGGGGGGCCGGAAGGACCCTCCCCGAGTGCCTCTGCCTGGGGGTGGGGCGGGGGAAGGGGGTGCAGAGCACAGTCCTGCCTGCACCTCAGTGTTCATCTCTGGCCTCACAGCTGTGAGAGAATGTATTTCAGTTGTTTTGAGCCACCGACTTCTGGTCATTTGTTACGATAGCTCCAGGACACGCCTGGGTAACTGGGTCACCTCCCTCTACCCGCTCACATCCCAGCCCCTCCGACATAGCTCGTCCCCTGGGGTCCTCGTTCGCAGCCCCCGTCAGGCACTTGTCTGACACCGTGCGCCGGGCATCACGCCTGTAATCCTGGTAACAACCCCACTTGCTAACATCCCTGCTCAGCCCACGAGGAACCCGAGGCGCGCCCAGGCTCACCCACAAGCCCACGTCCTCCCCGCACCCGCGTCATGTGGGAGGGCCTGACGGTCAAGCCGCGACCTTGGACAACTAGAGCCTTCCCATGGGACCGCCACCCTCCGCGCTCCCCGCCGTGCCCCACCCCGGCCCGCCCCGCCACCCTTACCAGCCCGTGCTGAACTCCACGTGGGCGTCGAAGAAGCCGACAACAGGGGCCGCTGCAACCTTCCAGCCCTGCAGCCGCGCCCGGATCAGGCCTTCCCGCCTGCTGTTGCGGACGATCTTCACGAGGCCCGGGTACCTCTTGCTGACGTACTGGTCCAGGTTGAGCTTGAGTTCCACTGTGGGGGACACAGAGATATTTCAGGGTGTGACACCTTGGGGGGACCCAATGCCACTGAGACCCAAGGTCGTTGAGTGCCCTGATCCACACTTCATAAACTTTTAAGAGGACCCTCTGTGGCTGGTCGTGGTTCGAGGTGCTGGGGGGACCTCAGTGAGACAAGACCGTATCTTCATGGAGCCCCATTCCAGCGGGAGAGGCAGTGAACAATCACGCCAGACTGATTCAGACAGAGGCTGAATGTTTTATGAAGACAGGCTGAATTATTCAGCTGTAAAATGGAACGCAGTCCATGGACAGATGAGGGGATAAACAAAGTGTGGTCCATCCAGACGATAGAGTACAATTCAACCTTAAGAAGCAGGAGAGTCTGACACCTGCTACAACATGGTGGGACCTTGAGAACGTTCTGCTCAGTGAAAGAATCCAGTCCCCAGAGGACAAATCCTGTACGATTCCACTCATATGAGGTCCCCAGAGCAGACAAATCCACAGAGACAGAAAGCAGGAGGGTGGGGGCCAGGGCTGGGGGAGGGGGTGAGGAGTCAGTGTTTAATGGGGACAGAGTTTCATTCTGGGAAGATGAAAATGTTCTGGAGGTGGATGGCAGTGATGGTTGCACAACAGTGTGAATGCACTTAAAGCCCCTGAACTGTACGCTTGTTTTTAATATGGTTAATTTTACGTGATGAGAATTTCAACTCAACACATGATTTAAAAATGGATGAGGGCCCACGAGTCTGATTGAGGGAGCTCTCTGGCCAAGAGTGCAAGCAACAAAGTAAGTAACAATGAAACCAGGCTTCAGCCCACAGGAGAAAGAAAACGGGAGTGGATGCTGGAGTGGGGCGGGAGCTTCCCTGAGTAGG